AGTCAGAGATCTCTAATAAATGCTACCAGGAGCTGTGAGATTATGGGAGATGTTCACTTTCAAGGTATAGACTGTGGGTAGGGACAGAAGTTACACAAAAACCAGTTTAAGTGTTCCAAAACTGGTTTAAACCTATGACAGAACAGAAGTTCTGTGCACATAAACCAGTTTCAAAATGGCTGAAACTGGTTTAAGATAAACCTGGTTGAATGTAGCATCAGACTTCACTGATTTAGGTCAACTTGGTTTATGAAACTTCTGTCCCAGACCCCTTCCTGGTTCAAGTTAAATTACAGTCCCTCAGCATCCCAGCATGTTTTGCAGCCCTGATCTGGGCTGTGCTGTCTGCTTCAGAGAGTAGGGTTGGCCCCACCTCTCTGCTCACAAGCAGTAGCAGTGAGGGCTGGCTGACAAGGGGCTGGGGGTGGAAACCCTGCTGGGGACCACAGCTCAGTCTGCCGGGTGCAGCCTTTGCCAGACTTTTCCCCACTGGAACGGAGGAGGTGGGGGCAGGGGATGGGGTGTGTGGGGAGGGGGGTGGAGAGGGCAACCATCTTAGAGGGACTGCTTCAGGCTGGAAACCAGCAGACTCCACCTGTCCCCACCACTGGCAGAGACGGAGGCAAGCAGTTGATAAGGGGAGGGAGAGGGGGTGTAATTCCCCTCAGCTCCCCCAGGCCATGGGAGAGGGGGAAGAGGCTGGAGAATTGGAGCTGGAGGGACTGGTTCCCTGCCACCTGTGAGTCCTGGGACCTTCACTCCAACACCTAAGACCACCTGCTGATTCTCCAAGAAGGACTTTCTGAATACCTGGCTGAAAGGAAACACTCTGCCCTCAGGATTATGTAAGACTTATGCAAGGCTTTCTCTTCTCTTCTTGGTTTACATTTTACATTAGGCTAAGCTGTGTGCTCTCTCATTGTGTTTTACTGGGCTGTATCTTAGGCAAAGATTTTTGGTTGTTCTTTGTTGTGTGCTTGATGTTGCAAATTGCTGTGTTCAACTCATGCTCGCTTCAGAGAAAGGACTATTCTTGTTCAAGCTTTTATGAATTCAATGCCACTACTTTTTCCCCACTTACCCCCTCCTCAGCCTGGGAGGGCCTGCCCTCCCCACTCCTCGAGCAGGGATTGGGTGGTAGAAGCCTGGCAGGCACTGCACCCCTGCCCAGGAAGACATGAGTTGGAGTCCCCTGTGGGCCAGGGAGGGGATTTAAACTCTCACCCTCCATCCTGCTAGTCCTGGGTTGGGGCCTGGACACACCCCATCTGCTCCAGCAGGGAATGGGGTAAAGCCTTGAAAGCCTTGGAGCTTCAGTCCCTTCCCTTTGGCAGTGGCTGGCAGGCTGGGAGCTGTACTCTAGTGCCCCCCAGCTTCTGGCCTGAGCCACTGCAGGCATGTGGCTGCATTTCCTGAATCAAAAGTGAATGTCTGTTCATTTGCTTCTCAGTTCAAGCTCTGCAGTTTAGAGTAAACTGAAAAGACTGAATCAATTCAGTCTCGGACTTTTTGACTGTCTGTACTTAGCCTGTAGGACAAATGCTACTAGTAATATTAGGGCCTACATATTCCTGGATGTGATAGCTAACAAATTCCTTCACCAGCTAGTCACTGGGTTAATGAAATATGATTCTATTTTAGACTTCATGTTGGTAAGTAACAAGAGCCTTTTATAGAAAAGGGATTAAGAGGACCCTTGGATTAAATGATCATATATTGAATCAGACTAAGTCTCTCTGTCACACACTTAGATGGAGAATAGGAACAAATGAAGGCTAAACTTGAGTTTTGCTAACCAATCAAGAGCTGCAGAAGATGCTATATGAAGATTTTTTTATTCCTCCAGGACAGAAATTTAGGGCATGTGTACATGAAACGGGGGCCCTAAATTGAAGCAGTGGGTTTTTAAAAACACCGCTTCAATTTAAGGTGAAGTAAACCCCCACCTCGTGTACACCTGTGTCTTACCTGCCTCTCTGGCAGCAGGAGGAGGGGAGGGTGAGCTGCCGGTGAGCAGGGGAGGAGGGTGGCTGGTGCTTCCCTCCACGGCAGTGACGGGTCTCCCCCCAGGTGGCACCTGCCCACAGGCACCCAGCTTGGGCAGTCCTGAGGAGCACCGCAGCCGTGGAACGAAGGACTGGGTCCCTGCATAGCTCAAGCAGGCAGGAAGGCTGCTGGTGGGGGAGGAAGGATGAGGCTCTCCACCTTTTTTTTTCCCTTCAGTGTAACCTGCCTTCCCAGGCTGCTGCCAGGCTGTCTGCATGGGCAGTCTGCACAGTCCCTGAGCCTCATGGAGCCCGGTGCTTCACTCTGTGACTGTACGGCAGCAAACTTAAACTCCTCGGAGATGTTTTAGTTTGCTGCACCCCAAAGTCATTTAAGGTGCATTACACTACCAAATGTGCTACAGTGGCTGAAATTAATGCACAATACACCACCGACATGTTCAAACCCCAACACCATTAAAGCAGTACAAAAGCATTTAACCCACTTTAAAGTGTTGTGCACACATGCCCCTCATTTTGTCTATACACGCACATATTGAACAAACATTTACTCAGTTGTTTAAAGATTACCACCTTCACAAAATACAATCCTTTTAATTGTTGCTTATGCAACAGGTACACATATCTGCATTGTGAATTCCTGGGATAATTAATGATCTGTAAATGTTAAATAGGAAAAGAAAAGATCTGTAAATAAGATTTTCATTTCAATTTGAGAAAGAACTCAAATGTGATGGAGACTCAGAAGAGCTATTGACCTTTGGTTTTAGGGCATCAGAGAAGGAAGAAGAATATGTGTGGGTGTTAACTAGCCATGACATTTAGGCAAAAAGTTAGAAGGCTTTTTTTTTAACTCTTGTAGGAGTAAGGTTTTTGGACAGCTTTCCTAATGGAAGAGTGGGGACATGAAAGCCAACTAGTTTTAAGATGGAGTTTGATTTGACTGTGACTGGGGTTATCTGATCTGGTGGCCTCTGATAATGCAGGACTGCAGTTGATATCCAGCCAGTCCCTTCCAGCACTATGTTCATAACCTTTCTTTTTTAGACATGAAACTTAAAAGTTATCCATTCCTTTGTTACCTCCAGGCTGGACCCAAATGCACTTACCCAGGGCTGAGTACCTCTAAAACTCACAGATTTCATGTGTGGAGAATACTGCTGCTTCCTTTACTTGTTGCTGCTTTTTGCATGGAGCATTTAACACAAGTGCTCCACAAACTCAACTAATTTCTAGTTGCTTTCCAGATCATCCTATGTGTTTGTGCAGCTCTGAGCAGAAGGATTGCCCAATCCTGATTAATATCACTATAAAAGTAATAATTAGCAAAATAATAATAAAAGCATAAGGTGTAGGTTCTAACCTTTCATGTTCTTTATGCTATGTGTCCTTTATATCTGAGACCCTGAATCAGTTGACCTTCAGGTCTCACAGTAAATTTCATTTATAAGAAATATTCTGCTTTACTCTGAGGAAGTGAGTTGAATACAAAAAAAGCTCCTGTTTTGTATGTTAGGAAGTACTCTGTGTTGAAATTTGTGCTGACTTTGAACTATTTTGCCTTATGCTCTTTTACAGACCGAAGTGGTTGTATACCAAGAGCCTAATGTTAAGTAAACTGTATGTATTGGAAAAAAAATAGAAAAGTAGATATATAAGCAACTTTAAAAGATAAATATATGTATACCTATTTATAGTTTGGTTTAAATATTTACTTCAGCAGAATGGTTCAGCTTCTAAAAAGACAAAAATATATTCAGTTCTACGAAGCAGTGAAGTATTATGAGGAGAAAGGAAGGCGTATCCAATAATTAGACAGTAGTGTCAAATTTTAAAATTCACTCCTGGGGATGAAGGCTCACTGTCTCACAACAGCAGTAGGTCTTGATTTTGATTCACACATTTGTTTGACCTTCATAGTATGGGTTTCTTAACAGTGAGACCAGCCCTCTGCAATTCCTTATTTGACCTTGAAAATATAAGGGTCTGTTCCAATAAGTGCAGAGCACCTACAACTCTTCCAGACTGTCCTCAGACTTCTAAGTGCTCGGGATCTAACTGGATATTTATAAGGACTCTCAAATAAGACAATTTCCCAAGTATCAAGAAAAAATGTACTAAACTTTAGTGCGCGCACACACACACACACACACACACACCCCCACGTAGAGAAAGAGAGGGAAGAGTAAAACAGCACATTTCTTAATTTTGCAACATTAATACATTAGAACTATTATCTAAGTCAATTCCAGTAGAGGGAAGGCAAATCTCTCTTAGTTCTGCCTATCCGTATTGCATAATCCCTGGGCTTTCTTTGTACAGGATGACCCTCAACAACTGAAGCTGGGACTGAAAAAACAGCTGCATTGTACTGCAGACTAAAATTCTGCTACAGCTATAAGCCTTAGGATTCAAATGAACCCAAAAGAATTATGCAAATGGCCAATATAATGTATTTTGTGAATTAGAGCTATGAGGAAAGACATATTTCTTTTCTGGTAAGCTACTTCTTTTCTGATGTTTGAGTTGCCTGATTCTTATTTCATTTATACTGTGTCTTTTTAAGTAATGATCAGCCATTACAACACTTCTGTGGTGAGAATATTTGCTATGTGTCAGCCTTAACTCAAATTTATTCTACAATAAAATAAAGGTATCTAAATCTATTGCAGTTGCTTATTACTTCATGGTGCATGCTGTTTTATTTTAAAATATGCTGTCTCGTACTCACAAATAAATGCAAGGTTGTATCTTGATTAACTGCTCTTAAATATACTTAAGCACTTCAGCTTTCATTTTCCAAATGTCTTAAGAGTATAACAGTGCAACACACAACAGAAAAAAGAAGGAAGGGTCAGTAGATATTAACAGTGCAAACAAAAAAAAAGTCAATGCAGCAAAACTAAAAATTAAAGAACATTAAGCACAGCATTATCTCTCTAAGGAATCTGAATAACTTGATATTCTCTGTTGAATATTTCTATATTTCCTTACCTTGGATATGAATAATTCTTTCATGGTCCAGAGTATAGTTGCCAATGTGAGGTTCAGCACAGCAGATAGAAATCAGCACCAGAAAAAGTAGACTCTTCATCTTTAATAGCCAAAAGAATCTTCTTCACTGTGAAGACATTGCATACAGAGGCTTGTGAAATTTGGAAACATTTACAGTGTTGCAGTGCACAACTTGTTATAGCCATATGATCTGATAATGGGTGTATAAAATATTTAACCGACTGAGCTGATAACGTTACAATAGCTAGTAATTTTCAGAGCTAAAGACTAAAGCTGTTTAACATTGGATTTACTTGTGTTGTATTAAATGACACTGGAAATGAAATAATATTTATCTATGCAGAAGTACAACTATAAAAATATAAAATGATGCACATAAATATATACACATCTAAGTATATGTATGGCAAATTATAACCACCAACTGTGTTTCTAAAAATGTTTTAGTGTACTTTTGATTTTTTAGAACTACTCCAAATTTGGTCTATTAATGAAGTAACACCAAACTAATATAGATTGTATCCATTTTTGTTATATAATACAATCCAGTTGTAATGGATTGCATTATCCTTAGCAACTAAATAACACCTTCAGAGCTTTTGTCATTTTAGTCCAGGCTACAAGTTAACAAAAAGGGCATTAAGTTTCCTTGATCTAAGCAGAAAAGATGACAAAATATTTCTCAGCCTGACCAGAAAAGGTACATTTTATTTCAGATGCACTTACCATTTTAAAGAGTGCCTAAGTATACAGTGAAATGTTGGAAACCATGCACAAAGTAGGTTAGAGTTGTATACGCTACCACTGCAGTTGCCCTGATTGATTTTTCATTCATTTCTACCTAGAATGCTGACGCACTAACTTAGTGTGCCAGGTAGGGTCTCTGCAGTCAGCAGAGCTGAGCGCTGCAGGGAAAATCTCTGCCAGCCTCAGAGTAGTAATTAGGCAAATGAAGACCTGAAATAGATAAGGAAGCATGAAATACAAGAGGTCTTATGCAGAGGGTTCAGGCTTATGTGCTCTTTATAGCAATCATTTTACTGACAACGGATTCTCTAAATAAAAAGAGTATACTCCCAATCTGTGCCTTTAAGGAAGCTTGGGTTGTTATTTTTATCTTCAAATAATGCCACTATTAGTAATATTGCTGTCTTGCTAATATAGAAAACATATTTCATTTTCTCTCTCTCTCACTTACGACAGAGATAGAAAGGAGTCTGAACCAAATCTTCACATGTATGCACCCCCAAACTTAGGAAGTGCTTGTAATTGGAATGAATCAAAATAAACCAGTCCTTTAATTCAAACACTCTTGAACACTGGCCTTTTTCAAATCCAGACCCAAATGGTATAATTTGTAACCCTCTTTCTCAGAGGCTAAAATGCTGAAATAGGACAATTAAGTTTTGTCCTATGTTTTTATAACAGAACTTGTATGTTATTTGCCTGTACCTCCATTTCTTCAAAAACGCACAAGTTGGCATTCACACTTGGTTCAGTGTCTTTACAGATATGTATCTACAGGTGATGTAAGTAATGCACATACTTTTTTCTCGGTGGTTCACACTCTGCAACCCAAGCATCTCTGGATATTCCCTCTTTCTTAAAATGCTTAGCATAACAGTAACCTCCATATGACAGAGGAAGCACAGATGTGACTCCCCCAAGAGCCTATCAACACTAGTTTACCCTGGAGAGGTCACAAAGGAGTGTAGTGAGATGTTCTCTTTTCAGGGACTGCTGATCTGGCAGTTTGAAACATATATGAGAGCATATGCATAGTGCCACATTGCTGGTACAGAAACCCTAAGCCAGCCACCTGATCTATTTTGCCTGCTAGGAAAGCACTCTAGTTATTGTTTTTGGCTTAGAAGGAGACTGATGACTCACAAATTCTTTTATGGGGAAGAGTGTTAGCAGGTCACCAACAGCCTGTCATGTGTTTTGTTTTTGTAATAGACTTACACTGTTTCAAAATGGAGCTCAAGAAGATTCTCAATTTTCATTACAATCCACAGCCCTGAGCCAAGTGTAGATGTAAAGGTCCTGAACACAGTAAAAACATTGTAGTTCAACAGGGATGGAGGCAAACTGGCCCAAAATAAAGTGAACTTAGACTCTAAATATCACTTGGCAGGTATGTTAGTGCTCCTCTGCCCCCCCCCCCCCCCCCCCCCTTAGCACTTTATCTCCATCTCATTGCCATGGTCCTGCTAGCTCCTGAAGGTCTTAGTGAAAATAATTATTTACACAGCCTAGTTAATAGGTCCTAACATCACTTTTTTGTGGACAATGCCATTTCACTGGCCCCTGTGTTTAGGGAGATGGGTGTTCATCGCAGAAGGAAGATTTAACCTCCAACCACTTGAAGGCAATGTTCAAATGTTTCAGAGATTTTGCCTGTGGATATCTAACTCCTATCAGTTGGACTTCAGTACCTACCAACCTACTGGAACATCTAATCAAATAACTGATAGGTAAACTAAGAAAATACAGGATAGATGAAATTACTATAAGGTGGGTTCCCCAATGATGGACTAGAACTCAACAAGTATGGTTCTATGTCAAACTGGAAGGCAGTATCATGTGGGGTTCTAGGCCCAGTAGTATGTGATATCTCAATTAAGGTGAGAATGGAATTGAGCATTCATTTAGTAAATCTGCAGGTGACACCAAACTGGAGTAGGAGACCTATTAGAGGACAGGATTATGGTTCAAAAAATTATTAGAGGCTAGAAGATATGACATACAAGGAAAGGCTGGAGAAACTGGAGAAGATAAGCTATCCAGGGAGGAAAAAAAAATGTGGAAAAAAAAATGGAGTGACACATGCACAGACAGGACACATGGCTGGAAAGCAGAGCTGAGTCGCCCGGAGCCACACTCTGGCTGCCAGCCAGACTCCGTGCGGCAGGATTGCCACAGCTGCAGCCCCAGGAGGCCCCCAGGACCCCAGGTAAGGCTGCTGGAGCCAGCACTGGGCTGGCTTCAGACTCCCCTACCATCCCTGGGGTAACTTGCCACATGCCAAAGCGCACACGGCACGGGTGTTCCATGGGGACAAGTAGCTGCAGTGCAAGGTGTACCACTGTTATTTGTCCCCGGGGAACCAAACGTCTGCACTTGTCTGGATGCAGCCTTGAAGTCCTTTACTGCTCCGTTCTTTATATTGTCTTAGTGTGGCAATATCATGAAGGCATGGCCATGGAAAGAGCTCCTTGCATTTAGTTACACTTGGGTCATGCTTTGAAGATTTTCTGTTTATTTCCCCCCATAACAGTGACTGATGGAAGAAGCCAGTGGACCAGGCATTTTGGGGTCTTAGTTGGGAAATGAGTTCCTTGCTTGAGCAAATTATTTACAGGTTCTGATTTTCAATTTACCTATTTTTAAAATGGGGTTAATGATATTGACTTTCTTTGTAAAAGTACTCTGAAAGCTATGGTAAAAGGTGCATTAATTTTAAAAAATGAAAGAAAGCACATATCCCATTTGACTCTCTATTTGACCCCTGAATTCTAAGCAGAGCCTTAAAGGGCATGTCCACACATGCGGGCACATGCACTTGCAATAGCTCAAATAGCAAATTTGTGCTGGAGTTCTGTACCTCAGCACACGTGCCTGAACATACACTTTGGTATGGGGCAAATTCGGCCACTTGGGGTAAACTGACCCTGCCCAGCTCCTCCTGGATCTGCAGCCAGGGAGAGCTGAAGACTGGGGCCAGCACCTGTGCTGGTCCCAGCAGTATAAAAAGCTGGCCTGGTGAGCAGCTCAGGGCTACTTGTTCTCAGGAGTTTCTGATGCCTGGCCAGTTGGTATCTTGGGACACTTGCCCCTGTGCCAGCTGGACTGCTGCAGCAGTCCTGACCTAGAGTGGCACCTGTACCCTCTATCCACTGCAGCAGTCTGGCAGTGGGAGCTGCTGCCTGACTGTGACCTGCTGCCACCTGAGACAGCATTAACTCCCTTAGACCTGCCAACCTTGTTTAAAAATTCCAAATTCTCTGATAAAAAATTCCAAATTCACTCTTTAAAATACCCCAAAATCCATGTTCTTCCATGGAGAACGAGAGAGAGATCAGTTGGGCAATGTTTTATTGATATATTTACCATTTTAAAGAAATTTGGAAGCCTACCAATGCCTCTGTCATCATAATAAAATAAATTATAAATATCTATATGCTTTGGTGTTTGCTTTTGGTTTTTTTATCATAGAAAAATCAGAGCCCTCCCTGACCCCTTCGCTAACCAGGATGTAGGGCATAGGCAATGTGTAGGCGGGGCACAGGGGGGGGCACGTGCCCCCCCTGAGATTGGCCTCCACCAGATTCTGTGGGTGGTCACTGCCCCCCCCCAACCCCCAACCAATGCAGCCGGTGGTGGCTGCGGACAGTTCCCGCTTGCCACTCACTGCCATGGTGCCTCCCCAGTCATGGGAGGCACCAGTCATTCATGATGTGGGGACAGCTGTCCCTGCAGGTCCCATCCTATCTGGCAGCTAGGCTTGCAGGGTGTGAGATGTAGGGGGATGTGGGATCTGCAGAAGGGGGATGGGGAGGGGTGTGGGGTTCTTGGGTGAGTGTGTGTGGGGGGAAGTCCGGGTGTGGGTGTGGGTATAAGGGGGATATGGGGTTTGTGGATAGGTGTGTGGGGGGTGGGGGACATGGAGTGTGTGTGTGGGTTGGGGTTGAGGGGTATATGGAGAATGGCAGGATGTGTAGGGGGATGTGGTGTGTGTGGGGTTTGTGGGCATGGGGTTTGTGGGGAGGTTTGAGGGGGGACAGCCATAGGCCCGCCCCCTCACCCCCCATGGCACACAGACCCTGGTGCTGGCAGCACAAGCCAACTGGGCTGTTGGGGCCATGACCCACTGCAGGCAGAGCCCCGCAGTGACATGACACCTAACCTGGCTAACCCAGAGCCCGAACATAAAGAATGGAACTGGCCTGACCCAACCTAGCCAGGCCTAGGCCACCCTGCCAATGCATGCCTTTGGACAGGACCAGGATGGCTCCTGCCACCACCACCACTTGCAGCTCCTGTCTAAAGGTGCACACTCCCGGGGTGGGTTGCGCTGGGCTGGGCTGGGCTGACCCAGCTCTG